CTTCACACCTGGTGAGGGGTACGATGCATGTTTGGTCTGAGTTCAACCATCGGTTGGACTAGCTATCAACATTCTAGCAGTCTGTTTCGCTACTTACTACTACGTGTGTAAGGTCAGTCCTTGTCAGGTCAGTCTTTGTATCTGAGTCTTCCCTGCGCTATTCAGCACTTTTGTATGTATGAGAATGCACATTGTCTGTCGAGATTCTACTCTCACCGCATTGTCCATTTCAGTCCTTTTCGTCACATTGCAGTTCCTCGGTTATTACAAACATCACATATCTGTGCATGTAACATACGAGAGACATACCTGGTGCTTGAAGCGTACGACATTGGCCGCGATCTGCTCGTACTTCGGGGAGCTGTTGACGTCATCGGCGGCATTGTAGATTAGGATAGATAGGATCTTCCATCTGTAGTCTGGGCGCCGAGCGCCAGATAGGATATCAACATTGGTTCTTCGTTGATGATGATGAGACTATTCCAACATTGCCAATTATGAGCTCTTGCTGTGTTCCTATTTGGTGGAACTCGTGATGCAATTCTGCTATTGGTTCGAGGTCACGACTATCTGGTCTCATGTGTATGATGCTGTTTGATTTCTGAAGTTCGCTATCGCTCATTTTCCTTGCAATTTGGTATCGGAGATGTGGTACGGTGCGCTCATCTGGCGCTTGTCTTCTGCCTCTGCGGTACATGCATATGGTATGCTGGGCGAGCTACCATAGTGAGTGTGTAGTGAGGAGGGCGAAGGCAAGTAGGCGACCCAGGCGGAGCAATGTGGTGAATATTGGGCCTTCGCAGTGTGGTGAGAACTATCCGATGTGTGATTGAGGCTGAGGTGGAACGGTGGTGCAATGCTGGTTATGCCGAAGCAGCGATTGGTCATCACAATCAACATCGGGTCATCTCGTGAGAATATTTGTGGTTGGGGGCAGCTATTTTGAACGTTGCACCAAACCTTATCTACCCTCTTCGACACTTCTTACCGTGAGGATGTGTGTTTTGTCTTGAAAGTCCTCTCATGTGAGGAGTTGTGTGCGCTCAACCTTGAGAGTCGTCAGTATTCACGTGGAGCATCTGAAAGGAGAGGGCGTTGCTATCTGAAGGGCCCTGGACGAAGCACTGGGTCACAGTCACCATGCCAACGCACCGGGAGTAGAGCACACATGCTTTGCTGCTTTGT